CAAAAGAAAGGTCTATGCAGGGACTTGGAGTGATGAAAGTGGGTCAAAGCAAGAACCCGAAGAAGAAACCGATCCGGTAAAGATGAAGATATACCTACATTGGCATTCTGGTTCTACAGTAACTCAACCTCTCCCAAGCCAGTTGAGTTTGCTCGTGATTCAAGAATCTGCACCGTGCTTCTTACCTTTGATGGAAGTAATTATTATTTCTGGAAAGATCTGAATGAGGATGTTTTTCTTCGAGTCTTGACCCTGAAGGTTGGCAAGCATTGAAATGGTATTGAAATTGCTGACAATCCAAGCAATTCAAAAGGTATTTCGTCTACCATCCGTGAAGCAATTCTTGAAAAAGAAAGAAAAAACAAAAACAATAGATTTGTGCTCATTGCACTAAGGCCAAAGATGACATAGGGACTATTCTGAGTCAAGTCCATTGAAAGAGGAGATCATTCTTCAACAACCATCCATTAACTTCAGATTGTCACATTAGTATTAGCTATGGGACTAGATTGAAAGATGAAGAAAAAGAAGATTGATGAAACGCTTAGAAGATCAATGATGAGATTGATCGGTGACATAACCTCAAACAAGCTTACGAAACGCTTTACTGAATCTTTGAATCTATCCAATATCAATTTTGGCAAACTCACTCTCGAAGCTCAAAGCATGCTGAAAAGGCTTAGTAATGCAACAAATAGAGGATTGCAACAACGAAATAAAGCAGATGTCCAAATGTACAAAGGCTAGGACCTCTGAAACACAGACAAGCTTTACTTCAGCTTTCGTGAAATCGAAAGAACTCTAACTTCTGAGCATTTATGCCAATTGAGAGCAGAAGATTGGAGTCCTTGTAAGTCACAAGCCGCTTTTGCGAAGAGCTGATTGGTGCCAAAAAGAGAGGAACTCAAAGTTGCTGGGGCCACGATTGATATGAATGGATACACAAGGCGTCAAAGATCCTGCAATTGAACGCCTATCATGGGTCTCAAGATCGCATAGTAATTGACAATGATGGGTAGGCTATGGTGCTAAACATTACAAAAGGACAGCCTCTACATCACATAATTCTGAAGACTCAAAGCAAAGGAAAAGCTCAAGAGGGTGATCTTTCTCTTCATCAACTCTAAAGGGGTAAGTCAACAAAAGAAAGGTAAACCTATTGTTGTTTGATCATTGTGGTATGTATCGGCCACATTCATCCTTATTGTTTTGGAGTTGTTTGGTAGGTGTGCCTCATTCTAATACTTTTGCTGGGTTAGAAGACAACCTTGATTGTCTAGGCGGAACCCTAAGATTCATGAGGTGGTGTTCACAATGTTAAGATGTTTACCAAGACTGGCCAGTCCTACTTCTGTTAAGATCTCTCTCTTATAATTTGAAACATAACTATTTGTTATCCATGTGTAGCTATCAACAAATAAAACTACTAATATTTGTTATCCATACACATCCATCCAAAAATATTTAATCCTCCCAAAAAATGCTCATACTGCCAAGTAGTCTTGTACAATTTAGCTTCGTGAACTTGTTAAGAAATATGTTGGGGAGGGTGCTCGTCTGGTTCGTGAACTTTTGATCCACTTTTCAATGATGGCCCCATCGATATTGTTTTAGCCACTTCAAATGTTTCTGGGAACAAAGAAAAATTATGTCACTATGAAACAGCACTACCGAACAAAGATAATAAAACCTCAACAAACTTCACTACAACATACCTTGAAAAGCCCCAGAGTGCTTCAGTCGTTCAAGAACAATAGCTAAGGCAGGTCCTTGAATATCTTTCAAATTCTTGGTCACCTAGTCATGTGACAAGACAATAAACTCAGGAGTTCTGCTAGATTTTTGACAAAAACCAAAGCAGGCACCAAAAATTTTTGTCTACATACTGCATCAGGATCACAGACTCTGAAAATTTCACCAATGCATACTTCAGCTGCTTTACGAACATTTGCTGATTTATCCTATATATAAATGCAAAACCAAGCAATTAAATAAAGTGATAAAAAAAATGATGAGTTATTTGCCCTTAAATTCTGACTAAAAAATTATCCACAGACCTAAAAATGATCAAACAATGTCACTAATGGAACAGTATAAAATCTATCTAGATATCTCTGTAAATTGAATGCACAAACTATAAAATTCAATCAAGTTCTATATCCTAAAAACCATTATCATATATATGATAAACTCAAACACAAAACCCACAAGTTCTCTCCTTTAAAGTCGTGAGGGAATTTGGGGAATGAGAGATCGATTTCAAAATTCCCTAGCATCCCTCCGATTCAAAGCGATGATAAAAACAAAACTCGTAAGTGCACACTCAGATTATCTCAAATCGTGACAAATCAAACATGATATAGAAAGAAAATAACAAGGTATGAGGCTATTACAATCTGCAACATACATTCCAAGGGAGCAACAGTGGAGCCAGACCAGCTTCCAACTTCCAACAGAGCAGACAGAGCAGATAGATCATTCCAATGGAGCAACACTGGAGCCAGATTACCTTCACAGACAGAACAGACCAGCTGCCTACCTCAGCGAGACTACCAATCTGCAAAGCCCAACTTCTACCTTCCAAATATTGATGACAGATTTACCTGCATCTCAGTCCTAATGCCAAGAATAGCCTAAACATATCTGAGCAATTATTACAACACAATAGAGACCAAGACTGTATTTGAACATATCAGCAATCAGCAACATAGCAACTCTGTTCAATAGGTAGCAGAGCAGACCTATGCAGCCACAGAGTCAACCATCATTCAGCATAGCAACTCTGTTCAATAGGCAACATAGCAGACCTATGCAGCCACAGAGTCAACCATCATTAAGATCAGTAATGCCTCATGATTTAAGCCTCAAGATAGTAGCAGATAGGCCATACACACAAGCAATAGCAGCATAACTTGGTCAAGATGTCTACGAAGCAAAACTTAAAGTAATAACTAAGCTCTTCTAAAAGCAATAAAATTAAGAGAGGAATCACAGGACTTCCAGAAGAGCCAAAACGAAAGGTGCAAAGTGCATCACTTTCAATCCATGTATATCCATTTGTAGGTCTTCAATATGACACAATTTTAACCCTCCAAATGCACCATGTTAAGCACATTGATTGGAGTGTGTGTAGTTTCGTATGTTACAACGTAATAAAAAAAAAAAACAAATGTAGCTGTGGTGTCTATTTATATAGAAGAAGAAAATGTAGTGGTGTCTATTTATATAAACCATTACAACATTTTCTCAAAATTTCAAGTCATATATTGTTTATTAAAATGTAGTACGTCTATTTATTAATTATACTTTTGTGCATCAACTCAAAATCTGAAAGTAAGTAGGAAAAGAAAACGGGCCACCAGATAACCTTCACAAAAGCAAGAAATTCTACAAAGCACGAACAACAACTGCCATCTGTTTCAAGTGAGATGTGAAGTGGTGTCTCTGCACAATCTGTACAGCATTGCCACCTCCCCTGAAATTGTTGAAAATAAAATTAGGATTGGGAAAAACTTAACATAATAGCCTTTTACAAAAACCAATGAAATGAAAGATGAACAAGAGATGGAAACAATTATTCATTAAACAATGAATTATAGACTGCACAAGTAACTATAATGTCACTGTTTCTAGTCCATGTAACCTAAATATGCAAGACAACAAACAGAGGGGAACTGGAGTTATTATCGATCAAGCGAGCAACAAGTAAATATTCACACTTATCTCATGTGTTTTGGTGCATTTTGGTATGTTTCGGTGGAAACAATGGAATTTCAGTATTCATTTATGTTTCGTTTTGATTTCCTAAGAAACGTAAACATTTTGACCATTTCAATGGAAAAGAAACAAAATGGTGCTCCTTGCTTAGGTGACTGATTCACATAGCAAGAGCAGGAGCAGTAGAGGGAGTAAGAGTGGAGGAGCATTAGATTTCAACACATTTAGGGCCCAAAGCACTACTGGAGCACTTATACATATGTGTTCGAGTCTGTATCTGTGCAAATGAGCTGGAAATATATTTTCCGTTGCATTAATGAGGGCAGCCGGCCTTTGATTTAGATTTGTTTCACAAGTAAAGATAAAATTTAGCCTTTCATATTGTCCATTAGCATATTTTTTCCCTCATCATTTTCTTTTTATAAGTACAACATTGAAGATACCTAACTACAATAAGAAAAGTGATAAATAACATTAGTTAGAACAAATCGAGGGTGTAAGAGAGATTAAAGATTGGAACAATTTATATCATGTAAAGACCAAGACAAACAACAATTGAGTACTAATTAAATAGTGACAACTAATGTTGCTGCTTACTTTTTCGGCATAGCCTTCTCATCAGATTTATAACTCCATTCTATTCCTTTAAGTGCAGCCTTCTCAAGAGGATCACCGACCTACAAACAACAATGAATGATATAGTAACTAAAGCATAAGGCAGTTCAGTACAAAAAAGTTCCAATTAGAGATCTGAAATATGAAATTCTCAGTGCTCAATAAACTTTTAACAAGGATTCTATATGTATTAGGTAGCTGCCTCTAAGCACAAGGCAGTTTAGTACCAAAAAGTTACAATTAGACAAGACTGGTTTGCTCATGATGTAGAGAATGCAATAAAAGATAGTGTCCAATCCTGCATCAAATCAATCTAAACAATACCTGCAGGATATGCGAGAAATGTCAATCAAATCTAGTAATAATTTTTTGGCTGATATGACTGAAGCCTCTCACCCAAGTCATTTTGTTTTGACATGTCCAGTTCTTTAAAAAAAAAAAGTTTATTGTTTGGACAGTGCCCCATAATATAATAAGCTGGACAATTGATATTAGTGACTACCTCAGTGCTCAAAAAAGATAAGTCAAATTTTCTAGGATATTACTTTCTGTGGGGAGTTGGTGGATCTTCTTGGCTGCCTTTATGCCATTCTCCACATTGGAGGGGAAGATGATGGGATGCATTAAAGTAACAACTTATTATAAAGTCTTGAGCAGTCAACATTGATCTTTCTTTTTTTCTTGGGAAGGAGTTTGGGTCTAAGGCTCCAACTAAGGTGGCATTTTTTGTGGGGTAGGTTATGCTCCATCTGTTTCACATTGATTTTTTGTGAGGTAGGTTGACAGCAACGATTAGTAGCACCAGATCTTCGCAATTAATAGTCTTACAGATAACGTCAACTTCTCTATCAATCGAATTAGCCCGTTGGTTAATTTTTGGCATATTAGGAAACATAGGCACCCATAAGCACACTCCTCAACTCCCAAGGCATATTAGAAATGTTCTTTAAAATCATTCAACACAACAACAAAAAAGTAAAATAAATAAAAAATAAAAATAAATCAAATCCCACGTGTTGAATAAAATCATCCTACAAAGAAACTATGTGATCTTGATACAGATAAGATTGTCCATTGAATATACAAACAGGTAAATCTATCAACAACTCAAACTAATACCATGACTGCTTTGAGAGTGCTATCCAATTAAAGAACTTTTATCTTACGCATGCATGATGTTTTTAATAAAGCCTGTGCATGAATCGAATATGACTGTATAAAGGGTTGTTCGACGAGTTTTACTTTCTGCACCTTCTAAATCTAAGCACATAGGAGGATATTGGAGAAATTGGTGATCTAGTTCAATAGCAAATCAGAGCAGGTTCAGAACACAAAAATGTCAAGACCTTTCTACTACCCAACTTACAATAGGGTGCATCTACCCTTTTGTTTTGTTAAGAAATTTTATAACCATACTGCATGCTCTTTTTCTTTCCCTCTTCTTATGCACAGTTGCTACCATTTAAAATTCAAACTTAAAAGCTGCAAATCACATCTCGCAAATAATAAAATTTTTGTGAAACTTTGTGACAGAACTTTTTTTCAAAAAAACATTTAACGACTTCATTTAAGAACATATAGAGCTTTGAACATCACTACAGTTTCAAAAAATTAAATCCTTTGCAATATTCAAGGAAGATATCCCAGCTTTTCTTAAAACCACAAACTTCAAAGTAAAGTTAAATTCAAACTGAGTTAATTTGAAAAAGAATGGTTTTCACACAACTGAAGCAACAGAAGATGTCATTTTGGGGAGAGAGAGAGAGAGAGAGAGAAAGCGTACAATCCTCCACATCCTTCAACTGATAATAGTGAGGAGCTATTTCCACCAACCATTCAGGTTTTAATTCAGTAACCTGTAACTCAACTTCTCAAATTAGTCTCTAATGGACAAAGTATAACTCCTGCAGAACCATTGCCTCTTCCAAACCCATGTAGTTAATCATCTCCCAAGGAGCATGAAGCAACAGAACATCGGTTTGGATAGATTTCGATAAGGTTTAACTTTTTTTCTTGGTGACAATGTCATAATACAACTTCTAAATGTCTTTACTTCGAGAATAACCAATACTTATGCATGTTTCAATATCATTTTGGCAATGAGAGGGTTTAATAGGATCCAATCACATCCTCTCAGAACCAACAGGTTTTTAACATTTTTTTTTTCTTTCGAAAATGTCAAAATACATCTTCAGAGGTTTTGAGCTAAGCATACACACACTGCAAATTGTTTTAGGTTTTAAAATAAAGGTTACCCACTTACTCTTTATTCATATTCTACTGTATTTAGTGTTTCTACTCAGTTTTTTTATTTATTCATATATATGATTGTTTAACATCGTCTTTGATTCAATCCATGATTTGCAAAATTCGAATTTTGATTTACAATGCAATTCTTGATTTGATAACTATTCCAGCTAAAAAATATGAAATAGTATAGCCTTACCCAGCCCAACATTAAGTGTATGAACCTATAAATATTAGTTCAAACCTAAAATGTAGAAAAAAATTTGAGGCAACCCAAATTATCTGACCCAAAACAGAAATGAAAAAACAGAGCTATCTAGATTAATATGGTAAAACAGACCCCAAAAAAATAATAATAATGGCAAAATAGGCAACCAAAACAAACCTTAAACAAAAAAATGTCTAGATTAATCTCCAAAAAATTGTCCCATTTTGATACAAAAAACTGTCTAGATTAATCCCAAAAAGCTATCTAGATTAATCTCCAAAAATGTTCAATTTGTTGATTAATATGAGAGAAAACAACAAAGAAAAATTCTTTACCTCTGTGGATTTGGAGGAGGGTTCGCAGATCTGACTAAACTAAATGCTTGAGTCCCCAAAAAATCATTTGTTAAACTACTAAATTGAACATTCTTGAGAGAAAGAGCATTTGGTAACGGAAACCTGCTAGTGAGCCTCTCACTTTTTATTTCCATTAGTAGTTTTCAAAGCCAACAAGTTTGCATATATTTTCTCATCCAATAAACTAAATGCCTGAGTATCTAAAAAATCATTTGTGAAATTACTCTACTATATATTACAGACTTTTTTTTCATCACTTACATCCAATTCACTTGGTCCAATAATTGATGAAATATATGATTTGTCAAAATTCAACCAAAAATGTGAATTTGTGTGGACGTATCTTATTCCGTAATGAATGCCATTAGATTCTTTTGCATGAAGTATAATTTTTTTCTCAGTAAGTTTACCGGCACTATAGTTAAGCTAGATCGAAAGCAGAATCATTGTTCATCAATAATGAAGATCAGTAAAACCCAACAAAATTAAGATCAAGCAACTACTGCTAACTAATTAAACTCTCAATTCACAAACATAACCCAACTGAATTCAGATCAATAAAGAACATTTCAAACCCAAAATCTAAACCAAGATCACCTTTGAAATCAGTAAAACCCAACAAAAGGATAGATCAAGCAACTAGTACTAACTAATTAAATTCAGTTTACAAATAGAACCCAACTGAATTCAGATCAAGGAACAACATTTCAAACCCCAAAATTAACCCCAGATCACCTTCGAAAGAGCATTGACGATGGTATCAAGAATATGCCTCGACTGTCGATCATAATACTCCTCAACATTGAGCTTCCAACCCGGGCTTTATTTGATCTTAGATTGGTTTTGGAAGTCTAAAGCTTAGTTATAATTTAATGGAGTTGATATTTTGGCACTGTTCGGCAACTTGGCTTTTTGGATAGCCAAAACGTAAAACAAAATCACTTAAAAAGCCAATAAAAAAAAGGGTCAAACATCTTAGTAATTCATGGTTTTTCATACAACCAAAAATAATTATTCCCAAACACATTAAATTTTTTTGACCTCATAAAAAAGCCAAAAAATCAAAAAATCTCACTAAAATGGCCAATTCCCATATGAGGCCTTTATAAACTTTCATTTGAAGCCTCTTTCAAGTTTGTATAATGCAACCCTAACCCTAGGTGGAATGCATATGGAATCATGGTGTGATGCCTAGATTTCTTTTTGTTTTTTCTTTTCCAGTTTACTATTCACAAGCTCTATTCAAAGCTCCTGAACAGCCCCTGTTTTGATTTTCTTTTCCCCATTTTTATCAACCTTAAACCTAGGTCATCCCTAAAGTAATTGAAACCCTAAAATTCTTACTGATTTTCAGCTTTAAAACACAATAAAACCCACAGAAATTCAGTATAAAATCATTATAGTGCTGTCCGACATCAAGAAAATAAAGACAGTTCACACTACTGATGCTTCAAAAGAACATACTTACATCTTGGACAATTGAAATCCTTCATACATGGAAGAATTCTCTTTCTGTTATGGAATCAGCCAAACAACAATTAGCATAAAAGTACACTAAGCAAGAAAATGACTACCCAAGTAGAAATCTCCTTCTACTTCAGTTGATAAAGTAGAAGCTAATTATGAAACTTTAGAAAATGAGGAAATAAAAAATAAATAAAGGAGCATCTTACAAGGGGTTCTCCTTCAGAGAGCTTTTAAACAAATTTATGTATAGATTCCTAATAAAATGAAAGATAAAGATAATTGTCAAAATTACACAAATTGCCACTTAACTGGAAGTATATAGCAGGATTAAAGTAGAAAAAAGTATTCTTACACGTTCTCCTGACAAGCAGGCTGATCAGGACCTTGCCATGTAAGGTTATTGTAGGAAAAATCACTGTGGGACCCATCAAATAACGGTTTTACATAAATGCTTTAAATCCCAAACTAAAACTCAGTTGATCAAGCAACTCAACTTCAGTTTATGCAATAATATAAATTGGGCATATAGCAACAATATATTTTATGCGAAATAAGGTGTTACTACTAGAATGCGAAATAAGCATCTCAAATGATTTTGTTTTAATTATTTTATTTTTTATGATTGGTAGATTGAACACCTATTTTCATACCCAATCTTTACAAAAGTGTATGAAAACCTGGTTTTTACTTAAACATCAAAATAAACATCAATTTTTACAATTTTACTTAAACCAGATCAATTTTTACAAAAGTGTCAATTTACTTAAACCACCAGATCTGAAGACCACAAAGAAAGCATTCTAACCTGAAGCGCTAAATCCATAGATGCATCAAGCTGGAAGCAAAATACAATCCTTCCCTTAGACTCTTTTGATTGAGTGTGCCAGAAGTTCATTCCTAGTTTCTGGAATGGGTACAGTCCACCACCCATTACTATCGAAGACCACAAAGGAAAATACTTCAAATCTCCCTCTCCATGCACACCACCCAAGGCACATTCCAATTCATCACACTTTTCTTTCATTTTTGTGTACAATATCCTTGGGTTTGTAAACTATATTTCCAAATCTCTGTACTTAAGTTCCTGATTTCCTCTAGTCTCTGATGTTATTTCCCCCTACTCAAAATCTACTAGCTCTAATTGTGGGGTTAAGAAAATTTCCATAGCTCCCGAGGCACCATAAAAAACGGCTCAAAATGCATGGCAAAAGAAAGGAGAAAAAATCAGAAAAAAAAACAATATATAAAATATCAGGTGGCATCAACAAAAAAAAAAAAAAAAACCATTAACTTCTTCCCTAGTAATCCACCAGTGAAAATGATTACCACAAGATTAACTTCTTCTAGGTTATCAACTAAAATTTTCAATTTCTGATTACCACAAGATGCATACTAGAGAAACATCACAAATAAGATCTGAGTCAATATGATTCCCTCACTATAAGCATGACTTGAATGCAAAATCACTAATTATGGAAGATTAATAGTTCCTTCTTCATCTAGATGTCAATAGGATGCTCATGAGCATTTCATATTCTGCTGTCATCTTTCCTATAAAACCATGCAGGCTCGATTTAAAGGAAAATGTTTCCCTAACACAATTGGAAGAAATGATGGGGACTAACCCCAAAACAACAATAAAGGATTAATAAGTGAAATGGACTTAAAAAGGATTGTTGAATTGTAATATTAAAATATTTGGGCAAAAGAACAGACATCACTTGTAAATATTACCAACGATACTAATACCAATGATAAGTTTTGACTCCACAAACATTTTGAGAAGCTTAGGTAGAAAAGATACATATACATTGTGGAACACATTGATATAGCAGAATCACGTGGTCTGCAAATTAACTCACTTGTCTTGCAATCAGCAAGTTCAGATCAGGATGACTAGACCAAGCCAACAGAACAACCAATAGGTTCATATATGGCAAGCTAGCTCACCTAGAAAATACAGAAAAAAGTTTACCAATAAATTGTTAAACCTTTTCACCCTAATGTTGAATCATTTGTGAAAACTCTCTACAATATTACAATTTTGGGATAACTAGGAATCTGAATCTGAATCAATAAATACAGCAACTTGCTGCAACAGATGCATAGATTCAAAAATTAAGATCAATTAGCAGAATCTGAATCAATCAGAACAGATCACTAGACCATGATCAATCCAAATAGTTGGGATAACTAGGAATCATGAACATGAATATATTCCACACAGTAATCACAAAAATGCTTTGAAGATTCAGATAAAAAATAAATAACAATATTGAATCTTGCAAGACTAGCAACAACCCAAATCGCTATTTCTAGCTAACATGATTTGAAAGAAGACAAATAGGAAAAGTGAAAGTGAAAAGTGAAAAGAAGAACGAAAAAAAAAAAAGTCATCAAAAAAGAAAGAAGATAGATGCAAAGATAGAACCGAATCGAATGGATGATGATACTCACAGGCCACAAAGGCAAAGCAGGAGCTCGGCCAGTGATGATCAGCCAAACCCAGAACATACCCAAACAAGTAACAGTCAAAACCCACTAGAAAAACCCACATAGATAGAAATCAGAATCGCAC